CTTACTTGGGTAGGTCCAGGCCCTCTTAGTGGAGTAAGAGGCTAATTAATGCAGGGAAGGCTGCACATGGTTTCTGTCCTGCAGAAAGGACAACCGCCCTGAAGGACATGAAGTAGCCCTGTTACATAACTGCCGTCTTGAGGAACATTCCTTTTCCTCCTGGCATTCACCTCTCACCCATACTCCCCCAAACCGGCTCCGGCAACCTGCCATTCCCTCATCCTTGAGTCCAGCACACTCTATTGTCTCAGTCATTTCATGTTTTGAAATGTATGCTTTGTCAGGCTCATCCTGAAAGAACATAAAAAGAAAAGGTCACCATCGCAGAAACCATTATTTCTCTTGTGGACGTACTGTTTATTCAAAGTCTTAGACCTGAATAAAATTATTCTATTTTGGTGAAATTTCGGAGGGAGGAAAAAAACAAACTACAGGGTGAGAAAACAGAGCAGTAACTGTCTGGGCTGAGGGTGATGTACCGACTACAAGGGAGACTGGAGGAAACTGGGGTGGCAGCATCATTCTCTGACAGGTCTGTCACGCACAGAAATGTACACCGGAGAGCAGAATTTATTACACATAAATTATACCTTAATTTCTTAAATGAAAAGCACTGGTCTCTTAAAATTGAATGCCATCTAATATTCCACCAGATCACATGCTTAAGTGATTTATTCCAGTGTTCGTTATCAAGCTGTCAATAACTGGCACAGTTGCCTAGGAGACAGAAAGCTCCTTTTTAAGCAAGCGTTAAGTCTAGCGTTATACACTTAGGGAGAGAAAACTTCCAACATATCTGAGGCAAAGGGAGTGGTGGTGGGTAACGCGGAGGGTCATTGAGGCACGGCTCTCGTGGAAAGTAAATTTCCTACAGCTGTGTCCCCGGCTTACACTCTGGTTGTGTGCTCTCGGGGGATGCAAAGGTCCATCGTCATTGTTCGTTTATCTCCTACCGTCGTGTTATGAGCACGTCAGAAACTTAATTGGCTTAAAAAGGGAGAAGTCCTGAGGTTGCCTGCACCTTGGTCACTGTCCAGTTTTAATAACCATCAAGGGATTGATTGGTTGCTCTGTTTTTTAACTCCCTCATCTAGCAAGAAATCCAGCTTGCAAACCACCAAGCCACTCACTTAATGTCTCTGAACAACAACCTGTAACTTAAAACATGTAGTATTGCTTGGTGCTTTTTTCAAACAGTGCGGCCTTTAGATGTGTGCACACAGCTGGTCATTCCTTTTGACTGCTGGACGTTTTTCTTGGTAGACTGTCCCAGGGCATCCTCCTGGCGGGGAAATGACTGTGCTGCTAGATTGCTCAGTTCCCCACGGAGGGAGCTCTCCTTGTCACTCCCTGCAGCTGTGTGGAAGAGCTCCCTTCCCACTAACAGCTACATTTAGACTTACAAATTTTTACATAGCTGGGTAGGGAAATTCTATCTTTTTGTTGCCTTAGCTCTATTTCTCGGAGTTCTAGGCACAGCTGAGCCTAGTAAATTACTTACCCACATCCTTGCCTGCTTTTCAAAAACAAAGCTATTTTCCTTATTGTAGTTTTTAAAATATTCTGGATAATCCTGTTACACCTGCACACATACCTTCTCCCAGACTGAGAGACTAAGGCTTTTAATGTTTTCACTTTTTTGTATCACCCATTGGACAGATTTTTTTTAACTTAAAAAAATTAACCCTGTATTTGAAGCCATGTGCAGCACTGCTTGGCTGGTGTGCTGGTCTGTGACCCTGGCTCCCAGATCCTGGCCGCCTTCCATCAGGACACTGCCTGTGGCCATGGGTCAGGGACCAGAGCTCTTCAAGGACTCACCCTGCCAATGAAATACTCTGGCAAGAAGCACTGGGTCACTCACTGCTCCTCCTCACAACCTGTCTGTGACCCTGGCTCCCAGATCCTGGCCGCCTTCCATCAGGACACTGCCTGTGGCCATGGGTCAGGGACCAGAGCTCTTCAAGGACTCACCCTGCCAATGAAATACTCTGGCAAGAAGCACTGGGTCACTCACTGCTCCTCCTCACAACCTGCGGGCAGCTATGCCCACAGCCCTCCCTTCACCTTGAATACAAGTTTTTAATGTTGTCAGATGCACTCATTTTTTTGGCCTGTTGCCTGTGCCTTCTCATACTGAGATTATTCATATAACACAACTCACCCACTTCGTTGTCACTGCCAATTCCAGAACATTCACATCATCTCCCAAAGAACCCCCAGGAGGATGAGGGAAGGCTGTACATGTAGGGGGGAGGGGGTGAATGGGGAAATCTCCAAATCTTCCTCTCAATTCTGCTGTAAACCTTAAACTGCTCTTAAGTCTTATAAAAAAAAAAAGGTAAAGATACCCCACAGCTGTCGCTGCCAATTTCCCTTCCACCTCAGCACCTGACAGCCAGTATCTGCTTTCTGTCCCTTCTTTGCCTCTGGATGGTCCCCTTGGTGAAACGGTGTGTAGCTGGCTTCCTCGCACCTGTCCTAACAAGGGTACTTCATTCCCTCTTACCGCTTAATAATCTTCCATGTAAGGATGTGTATGTCGTGTTTGTTTATCCAGTCATCAGTTAAGGGACATTGGTTGTTTCTACTTCTTGGCAATTAAGAGTAATATTACTATAAACGTTCACATACTAGTTTGAATTGTCATACATACCTAGGGGTGGCATTGCTTGGACCTGTTTAACACTTTGCCAACTGCTACATTGTGTTCCAACATGTCGTGCTTTTTACAGTCCCACTGGCAGTGGGGGCTCCAATTACTCCACATACTGTAATTTTTATTACTGGCTGTTAACTTTCATGGGCAGCCCCAGTGGCCAGCTGCAACGGAATGTAGTCACCCTTAGAAAGCTTGAGTCCTTCCAAGCAAGCCCACCTCACTGTTGGATGACGCTGAAGGAGTCAGGGTGGCTAAAGATCAACAAGGTGTTGATCCTTCTAGAATTTTTCCTTTTCTGCACCTCCCTCAATAATGGTTCTGCCTCATTTATCCACCCAACCTTTCACATTCAACAGTCCCTCCCCACCCTCACCCCACTGTGCCCAGGAGTGGGGCAAAAGGGAAATAAAAAAAAGTGAGGGGTCTGGGGTCCAGAGTCCATTAAGTCACACTCCCAGCCTGAGTCTTCGGGGAACTGCTATTCAGGGTGTATCACAGTTTGGAAGCTGAAGGTATCAAAGGGCAAAAACCACTTTGAATGCTCAGGGCCAGCATCGGATCAAGCAAAGAGCAGAGGGCAGAGGCACCCCACACCAGGTACAGATGCTTGGCACTCGCAAGAAGTGGTCCTGTACCGACGGGTAAGATCCATTGTTATTAAACTCCACAAACTTTTAACACAGCAGGTTGGACGCATAGGATAAAAGAAAACAAGGAAAATATAGAAATCCAGTGTGCTGGTCGTTCTAGTTTGCCAGACCCTCTGTTCAAAGGTCAAACCTTGAGCAGTTCGATTAGATGCAAGGAACAGGTGAGCCAAGTTGGGGAAAACAGTTCCAGTTAAAAAAGAAGTCTCAGGCTATGAATGTGAACTCAAAAGAAGTCTTCTTGATCCACTTGGCAAAGAGAGGGGCCACTGGGGCAAGCTGCTCACCTCCCCAACCCTAAGCAGAGGTGCTAAGGACAGCATCCCCAAGGCAG